GGTGTCTTTGAGAAGTGGAAAAGTATTAAAGGACCCCATAGCAAAACAAAAGAGTGAGTTAATTGAAAGACAAGTAGAAATTGTACAGGAGCAGAAAGAGAGCAACAATCAAGAAGGTGAAGTGAGGGTAGATCCATATGATGATCTGAAGAAAAAAAAAAGAGGACTAGAGCTCTAAAAAGAAGAAGGATGAGAATTCAATGAATGAGGAGAAGGAGGAGAGAAAATACATACCTGCCTTAACTTTTCCCAGAATCAAAGAAGAGAGAAGTTGGACAAACAATTTGGGTTTTTTCTATAAGTGCTTAAGCAGGTGCATGTTAATCTACCTTTCATAGAGGTGCTCTCTCAGATGTGCCAGCCTATGCTAAGTTCATGAAAGGAGATATTGTCCAATAAGCGTAAGGTTGAAAAGATATCGGTTGTCAAGCTCACAGAGCATTGTAGTGCCATTTTGCAAAATAAGCTCCCTCAAAAGTATGGAGATCCGGGAAGTTTTACTATACCTTGCTCTTTAGGAAGTACTAAGTTTGAAAATTCTTTGTGTGATTCAGGTACTTCTATTAATCTTATGTCTTAGTCTATTTGCAGGAAATTGTAAGGAGAGATTTGAGAAATCAGATCTATACCTGTGTCTTTGCAGCCGGTGGATAAGACCACAATCATACCTGAAGGAATAGTGGAAGATGTGATAGTTTGGATGGATAAATTTATGTTCCCTGTGGACACCATTATTGTGAATATGAAAGAGAATAGGGAGGTACCTCTGATTTTAGGGAGACCCTTCTTGGCAACTGGCAAATTTATTCTGGACATTCAGGAAAGGCAGCTCATGCTGAGAGCGAGGGAACAAAGGGTGATTTTCAAGATGGAGGAAGCAATGGGAGCACCTATTGATGAGACAACTGCACATTCTGAATTCAAGACAAGGGCCCTAAAAGAGCGAGCTGGAGAGAGTAAGCATGACAAGTGTGGGATGTACCCAAAGAAGGCAGAAAAGAAACTTTCAACATGGATGTGTGCACTGGGTCGGGCGTGCAAATGGGATCCCGACTTTGATTCAGACCCATATTAGATGATTAAGGGGACTTTTCTTTACCTCTTATTTTTTATTTGTGTGTCATACGGACATGCCACAATTCTTGAGGGATCAAAGTCGAAAAAAAAGTTTTATTTCCTGATGTAGTGTAATAATTCCCTCTTGATTTTTCTTTGTGCCGCAGTTCTTTTCTAAGGATTTTGCTTGAACCGGGTGTAGTTAGTTTTTCTTTTGTCATGAATAGAAAAGTCTTATGCTATGGTGTTAAATGAAGCTGGCATTTTTTGGCTTTGTTGTGCCTTGAGAGTGGTGGGTGCCTTAGTTGTGACGCCTAGGATCAATTCTTGACTCATGTATTATAGTGCCTTGAATTGTGTAATTTTATCTTTGCTTAACTTCTTTGACTAGAGAGTCGGGATATATCCGATCCTAAGTGAGTTATGTGCCAATGTGTGTGTGAGGATTTTGTCGATATTTCTTGTATGTTAGTTGATATCTAGAACTTGCCATGTGTGTTTGCATTGCGAAATAGAAGTCTTGTTTAGTCTTGGAAGTGATATAGGCGTTTCTTTATTGAGCTAAATATATACTTTTACCCACCTAATTATTGTGTATCTTTGTTAGCCCCGTTGATCCTGTAATCCTATTTCTTTGACAACCACACTACAAGTCTGACCCCTTTGTTGAATAGACCATTTACTTTAACATTTTATCTCTCATGAGCATTTGAAATATTTATGAGCTTGTTACAAGCTAAGTGGATGTATGATTGAGTTTTTTAGTGGAACTATAGAAAATGAGAAGGGGCACTATTTGAAAAAATTGTGAGAGCCACTTGTAGGGAATTGGAAAAAGAACAGAACTTAGAAAGAAAGAAAGAAAAAAAAGAGGGAAAAAAAGTTTGTGTATATATTAGAAAAAACAAATTTGATTCCTTGCTAGTGGTAGTTCTCATCTTATTTGTGCTTAAAGAAATTAAGAGCTTCATGCTATTAGGCTGTGAAGGTTGGGATTTGGTTCAACATAAATGTGGGGTTTGAATTGTTAATGTATTTATATTAAAGTACTTAGGGAAGTGTAGTCACTATATCCAAATATATCCTACCCATCCTGCAACCTACATTACAACCAATTAAAGTTTTACTTGATCTTTGACTGAGTGAGCTCAAATTAGTAGATTATTACACTACGGGCAAGCCTATGGTACGTCTTCTGCGACATAGGAATCTTAATTCTGAGAGTGAGTGAATTCTTTCTATCTTGAGTTCCTAATTGTTCTTGAACCTTATTGTGTGTGGAACAACTCTCTATTGTTTGTGTGAGGGCACATGACTTGTGATGGAAAGGTAACTTTGTTGACCTTTGTATTAGTGTAAGTGAGTAGGTTTTGAAAAATACATGGTGATTATGAGTTAAATATTGAGACTAGGATGTTACGGTATGGTGCTTAGACAACTTTAATTATTCTTGTCAGGATGAGTTAGGAAAGTTGCTTGAAAATATCGTCTCTATTTGAAATGTAGTTTGATTGCTTGAGGACGAGCAATGTTTTAAGTGTCGGGTGTTGATAGTAGGCTAGAAACCCATATTTTAGTCGTATATTACACTCTAATCAATGCATTTTACCTGTGTTTGATCTTAAATGATGGTGATTTTCACTTATTACATGTTTTATGCCTTGTACGAAATAATTCCGGGCTATTAAGATAATTTGGAGTTAAATCGAACAATTTGGAGCTTTGAAATCTGAGTAAAAACTCAAGATATTAAGTCGGGATCACGTTCGGGGGTCAATGACCAAGTTTGGATGTCAAAAGTGAGAATAAAAGATTACCCTGAGAAAAATGCACTACCACGCCGCGGGGAACAAGGTGGTAGTACAATTTTTCTGCAGAGTGTAAAAATCAGCCCTAAGTTCTCCACTGGCGCGACGCGCATGGGGAACCGCACCCTGTGTCGCGCATGTGCACTTTTGTCAGAGTGCTTTCCCGTCTTGGCTTGGAAAGAGCCGTACGGAGCCGTTCCTACATGGTATAAATACACCAAAAATATAATTTTTAAGAAACGTTTGACCTACGAAAGATTTGAGAAGAACCTAAGGCAAGAAGACACAAGAATTCATCAAACTTTCAACCAACAATCAATGTAAATGCCTATTTTTTGCTCTTTCTTTTTCTTCTACGATATATATATATNTTAGTTGAATTTTATAGAAATTTGGCCAAATCAGTGGCCCAATTCGATTGACCCAATCTAGATCAAGGCCAGCATGTGTTGCAATCTAAACATCGTAGTTTTATGACAAAACTACGCCGTTTCGTCTAGTGATCCAGAGATCAAATCTCGGTCGTTTAAGATATTTTTATCCAATAGTTCTGAGGCCCTCATCACCCATGGTATTTAAACCCCAAAATCCTGAAATTTTGCCCCTCATTTCCCCTAATAGTCTCACTTTCTTCTCCCTCTCTTCTCACTCCCACCCTCTCTCTGCGCTGCCACTTTTCCCCAGCGTGCACTGCCGTCGGTAATCACCCTCCAACAACGAATGACCTCCAATCGGCCCCATTTTTTCACCATCTCCTTGTCCCCTCCTCCTCTTTCCATATCTCCAACCCGAATCCTCAAACTCCCTCTCAAACTCCACAAATCTGGCCAAATCCGAGACCCTAGCCGCCCAAATTTTCTTTCTTTCTTTCTCAAATTCGCTTCGAATCTGACCACCCCACCACACAAAACTCACATAAAAAGTAGATCTCCTAGACATCTACACTTCCCCTTTAGTTTCACCCCCGAAAGGCACCACCACTGCCATCGAACGACCCCTAATGTCAATTCAGCATCGCCACTGCCACCCTACTACCACCACTGATCCTCCACTCTAGCCTTATCTCAACCTAAAGGCACTTGTTTCCTTCTATCACGAAGCCAAAACTTGCTTGTTTTGGCGCCTGCTAAAAGGTAACGTGTGCTTCAATGTAGGACAACCCCTGCTCGATATTCCCGACATCTTCTCGCTACTTGAATTTGCATCGAGCATGCTCGTTAGGTATAACCATCATCCCTTTGTTTAACTTCTGGATTTTAATAGTAGTAGGTTAATTTTTTATTTTTATTTTTCGGTTTTGATCAAGCACTGTTAATTAGAGTTTCTAGTTAGTACATTATTGATTAGTTATCTTTGTTTGTATTGATTAGCAGTTTGTTGGACAGTTAGTGATCAAACTGATTTTTAGCTATTAATCGTGAGCCTCGACTTATGGTAAAGCCTCAATCTTTTTCATACCTCTTTGTTTCTACTTTCTGGTCTTAATTAGTATAAATTTAGGATCGATTGTATTGTGGTTATCAATTGCCACTATATTATGTTAGTTGATACAATTATTTCTTTAAATTGAAATCAATTAGCGGATTAATATGTTGTTTATTGTTGGTGTTAGAAATGAAAATGGCCGTCTTCTCGAACCTTTTGGTGGTGGTATGGAGAGAGACAAGAGAGACAAAGGCGATTAGGTTTTACTTATGTTACTTTGTGTCTGGAGAGAGGTGTATATCTTATAAAACTGGGTCAAGATATATTGGACTCTACTATGATTAGGCTTGTTTTACTTTGGATTTAGCTTTCAACAATTGGGCCTTAAAGCTTCAACTATTTTTATTGACCCATTCTAGAAAGACCCAGAAGATAATAAAATTATTCTTTTGTAAATATTCCTTAATTAGTTACAATAGATGTTAGGAGTAGACTAGTAAAATACTGCCAGCTGACAAAGTTTGTTTAGACTAGATTCCAGTCTATTGTATTTATACGTTACACTGTACAGAGAAATAAACACAGAAAATTTTCCAAAATCATTTTCTTTCATTCTCTTCATGGTATTTGAGCATGAATAATCTGCTCTTCCTTTTCACGATCCTTTTTGCTTCATTTATTTTTATTTTTGCTTTCTTCTTTCTTCAAGCTATGGGTATCACTGCTCAGACCCTAGATTCACTTGCATCATCCACTTCCACAGACAATTCTACTGTGCATGCAACTTTAGTTATAAGTGGAGTGGTTGATTCATCACATCCTTACTATCTTCATCCTTTAAAGTATTCAAGGATGAATCTTGTTTCCATAGTTTTTGATGGAAGAAGCTACAGTGGATGGAGAAGAGCTGTAATAATTGCTTTATCTACAAAGAATAAGTTAGTTCTCATTGATAGAACTCTTACTATTCCACAAGCTGATTCTAGACTTCAAAAGACCCGGGCTAGGTGTAATGACATGGTACAGTCATGGCTACTCAATTCTCTTTCTAAGGAGATAGCTGAGAGTGTGCTTTACTCTCAAAGTGTGAAGGACTTATGGAGTGATTTAGAGGACAGATTAAGACAAACAAATGGTGCTACGTTATTTCAGTTATAAAAGGAACTTAGTGCTATGGTACAAGGTAATTCTAGTATATTAACCTACTTTACTAAGATGAAAAGCCTATGGGATGAGCTTGATACTTTGAATACTTTTTCTGCATGTGTTTGTAAATGTAACTGTGGTGCCAAGGTGAAGAACTTCAAGGCACATCAAGATGAAAGGTTGCTACAGTTTTTGATGTGTTTAAATGACACAATCATAGGTGCTAGGAGTAATATACTATTGTCTTCACCCTTACCTTCCATTGGACAGGCTTATTCACTTGTGATACAGGATGAGAAACAAAGGGATATCCATGCTACTCCTATCGAGAAGATTCTGGATCCTTCCTTGCTACAAACCTATAGGGAAATGAAAGAAGATTCAATGAGAACAAAGGACAGAAGGGAGGTTTTAATCCTAGAAAGAATGCTAGAATTTAGGAGTACAATTGTCCTCTAAAAAATTAACCTCTCATCAATGCCTACCTCTAATTGAGAAGATCACAGCAAGAATCGGTTGTTAGTCTGCAGTGTTGAGTGCAAGAATCAGTTGTTATATAAAATAGGAGTGCAAATGCCTCAGGATTGTGCTTTTTGCAAAGCAACTACTGAAACACTTGAGCATCTATTCTTTGAATGCTCAGTAACAAGAAGAGTGTGGAGCAGCCTATTGGTGTTGTTAGGCATGAAAAGGAACATAACTGGCTGGGAATAAGAGCTTAGTTGGGCATGTCGAATGGCTGTAAAGAAGACATGGCGAGGTGGCATTACACATCTTAGATAGATTTGCTTAGTTCTTTTGTATGTAATTATCTATACATCTTCTGTTTCCAGTTTTATAAGCAATTTCTGGACTTGTAGTAGGCATGGATGAAATGTAATCTAGGACTAGACTTATATTCAGGATAGTAGTTAGTCAGCAACTACTTGGCATTGTACAAATATATTTTTGATTAATATAATTTTGACTTTAATAAAAAAAAAAAGAATGCAGGAATTTGGGCTTACTGCAAGAAACCTGTCGATAGCATTGATAAGTGTTATAGGATTCATGGTTTTTCTCCAAATTTTAAATTTACAAAGCAGAGGAAATTTCAAGGCAATGTGAAGCAAATGATGTATTTAACACAAATGAAAAGGTAAACAAGGGAAATGCTAATATACTAGGAGTGAAATCACTTACTCAGGAAAATGTGACACAACTTTTGCAGTTTCTACAACAGGTTAACATGGGCCAGCAGGGTGCAGGAACCTCTTATGCTTCTGCAAATTTGAGTTGTGCTGGTATAGCCAAGTTTTTCAATTCTTTTGCCTATTTTATTCAAATTGATAGTGATTCATGGATATTAGATAGTGGAGAAACTGAGCATATGACTTTTAACAAAAACTTCTTTATCAACTTTCTTTCCTACCAGTCCATTGCCCACTTCTCGTGTACCTTTTCCCTCACTCTCCTCTCTTATTTCTCCACCTATACTGGATACCCTCATTAGAAAGTCTACGAGACCGCACAATCCTTCTATATACCTTAAAGATTACATTTGTAATGCTCTTCAACTCTCAGATATGAGTAATGCCGGTTTTCTTGCACCTGTCTTTCCCACATCTTTGTTTTTTAGTAGCCTACCCATCACTAATCAATATATGTTCAATTATTTGTCTAATATGCATGAACTTATTAGTTATTCGCAGGCTGCATATCACCCAAGCTGACAAGAAGCTATAGAATAGGAAATTACAGCTCTTGATCTCAACAGAACTTGGGAAGTCATAGAATTACCCCCCGGTAGAAAGGGTCTACCTTGTAAATGGGTCTACAAGGTAAAGCAACATTCAGATGGTAGTGTAGAAAGGCTAAAGGTCAGGTTGGTGATAAGAGAATATATACAAAAAGAGGGAATAGATTTCAATGAAACTTTTTCCCCGATGGTCAAGATGACCACCATCAGATGTATCCTAGCCATAGCAGTTAAGAAACGTTGGGGACTTTATCAATTGTATGTAATTCTTACATGGTGATTTAAAAGAGGAAGTCTATATTGGCTTTACACCACCTTCTCCTAACCATGTTTGTAAGTTGAAAAAATCCATTTATGGTCTTCGTCAACCTTCTAGGCAATCTTACTCTAAGCTCAATACTGCTCTTAATTTTAAGGGGTGTACACATTCATTGAATAATTATTCTTTAATTTTTTAAAAGACAAATTCTTATATCTCTATTGTCGCAGTGTATGTCGATGACATACTATCAACATGTAATGATGCAAAGGAATTGACTGCATTAAAGGATTTTCTACATCAAGAATTTAGAAATCAAGGACCTTAGAAGCTTATATTATTTTTTGGGCATGGAAGTTCTCCGTAAGCCTTATGGTTTGATTCTATCGCAGAGGAAGTTCACCCTTGATTTACTGCACGAATTTGATTCTCTCCACAAGACACCTGTTTCATGTCCTCTTGCTTCTGTTCGCCTTTTAGATAAGATTGGTGCTCCCATTTCAGACCCGACCTTGTATTGTCATTTGTTGGACAAGCTGAACTATTTAACACATACAAGGCCGGATTTGTCTTTCATCGTACAATACCTTAGCCAGAATATGCATGATCCTTGAAAACCCCATCTCAATGATGCACTTCGCGTTCTCCGCTGCTTATTAAAGGATCCTGGACTTGGCCTCTTCATGTCTTTATCTCCTTCATATCAACTCCTTGCATTTTGTGATTCCAACTGGGCCACTTGTCCATATTCGCACCGACCCGTCAGTGGTTTTTATATTTCTCTTGGCTCATCTCCAATTTTGTGGGAATCCAAAAAGCATTTATCTCTAAGCTTTGCAGAGGCTGAATACCGCTCAATGTGACGGGTTGTAACTGAGCTCACTTTGTTGGTACGCCTGTTTGATGATCTTTCTATTTCAATTTTCCTTCATGTTTCTATTCATTCAGACAGTCAGGCAGCAATCCATATCGCGAAAAATCCTATTTTTCACGAAAGAATGAAGCATATAGAACAAGACTGTCATTTCGTCAGACAACAGTTCCTTGCGGGCCGATTTCCCTCTCATATGTTCGCTCCTCTTCTCAGCTCGCAGATCTGTTCACAAAGTCTCTCACAAGGCCGGTTCATCACAATCTTTTGGGCAAGTTGGGTGTCCTTTCATCCCCCTCCAACTTGAGGGGTGTGTGTGCTGGTCTTAGAAATGAAAATGGCAGTCTTCTCGAACTTTCTGATGGTGGTATGCAGAGAGACAAAAGAGACAAAGGCGGCAAGGTTTTACTTATGTTACTGTGTCTGAAGAGAAGTGTATATCTTATAAAACGGGTCAAGACATATTGGAATCTACTATGATTTGGCTCGTTTTACTTTGGATATAGCTTTCAACAATTGGGCCTTAAAGCTTCAGCTGTTTTTATTGACCCATTATAGTAGGACCCAAAAGATACAACAAAAAGACTCTTCATAGTAGATAAAATTATTCTTTTGTAAATATTCCTTAGTTAGTTACAATAGTTGTTAGGAGTAGACTAGTTAAATACTACCAGCCGGCAAAGTTTATTTAGACTAGATTCCGTTCTTTTGTATTTATACGTTACACTGTACAGAGAAATAAAATCATAAAAAAAATCCAAAACTATTTTCTTTCATTCTCTTCATTTATATAGTCGTTGTCTTTGGTAAAAACCTTTTTTCCCTGATTTCAGTAATTAGTTTAGTTTTAAAGTTTAGCTTTATTTCTTGTTTATGTCTCTATGAATGTCTGTTGTGTTATGAGAGTGATTAAGTAGTTTCGGATAGTTAGTAGTTTATATTAATCGAGTTAGATATATTATTTCATTCCTTTTTGCTAGCTTGGTTCAATCACTGCTATTGTTTATTTGTTTGATTTTAATTAGTTTATGTGTTAATGTTGTTTTGGTTTAAGTATTTTGAGAGACATGTTAGTTAATTTATAAGCTTGTTTGGTTGGTTTGATAGCCAAGTTGTTGCATTCTGAATTCTGATTAGTAGTAGTTTATCACGGGGACTGTCTTGATTGTTTTAGGCTTTGAATATTTGAGCTAAATGAGAGGAAACGGGAAGAAAGGGGGAGTACTTGACTGTAGGGTCCGTGTTTGGTTGCTTTTACTGTTGAGGACTATTTTGAAGTATAATACTCCAAAAGACTGTCCAGATTTAGTGAGGTTAAACTGTTTCTTGGGTAGATTTTTAGTTTTGGGCTGGTGTTCTGTCAAATAGTTATCATTTTAAACAAAAATTTGTCATATGGTCCTTTCTCTTCCTATATAAAGAAGAGTTTCTTTCCTCACTATGGACACATATCTTTTTACACATATGAGAGAGTAAAATATCAGCTGAACATCTAATAGTAAGCTGAAGATTTTGAGCTTGGGAGTGATTCTTAGAGTGTAAAAACTTTGAAGGAAAATGAGATCCTTTAGGCAGTCTTAAACTTGTTAGTTTCTGGGTTCAATTGTTGAAGTTGTCACGACCCAAAATCCATCTAAAGGTCGTGATGGCGCCGGACACCGCTATCACGCAAGCCAAAAATAAATACTTAATTTGGTTCTCGTTTTAATATTTTGAAATCATATTTTCCTTCCATTAAATAGTAAAAGATAAAATTTACAGTGTAAATAATAATATTCTTAACAATTTCAATACAGAACAACCCATAAGCACCCAAAAACCCGGTGGCACAAGGTTTGGTACCCCACGGGCTATCATTAGTGATTGGGGTTCTCATTTTTGCAACAAATCCTTCTACACTTTACTTTCCAAGTATGGTGTCAATCATAAGGTGTCAACCCCCTATCACCCCCAGGCAAGTGGACAGGTTGAAGTCTCCAACAAGGAGATCAAGAGCATTCTATCCAAGACTGTTAATGCAAATCGGACTGATTGGTCAAGGAAACTTTACGATGCTTTATGGGCCTATAGAACAACTTACAAGACTCCAATTGGTATGTCTCCGTACCGGTTAGTATTTGGGAAAGCATGTCATCTTCCGGTTG